ATCTGAGGGCTCTCTGACCCTCCCATAGACAGCAAGGTAACTACCACGTTCAAGGTCCAGAAAAGTACCAAGATGATCGACAAAGTAGTCCGTGTGACATCAGTGGTTCAACTGTAAAGTTACGAAGCTACGAGAATACTTTTTTGCGCAAAGAAAACAAAAATAACGACTTTATTACACATTTTTGTCTCTACTGCGTCACTTGTGGACGCGCGTTCATGACAGTACCATGACGCGAGCGTGTGGTCAGCATCAGCGCCGCCACACACTCTTGTACATCACCATACGATCATCTTGGTACTTTTCTGGACCTTGAACGTGGTAGTTACCTTGCTGTCTATGGGAGGGTCAGAGAGCCTTCAGATTTCACCAAAAATATCTTAAATTGTGTTCCGAAGATGAACGAAGGTCTTACGAGTTTGGAACAACACGAGGGTGAGTAATTAATGACAACATTTTCATTTTTGGGTGAACTAACCCTTTAAGACCTAATCACTCCAATTAGCAAACATCTGCCCTCACTCAAGAAACGTCAGCAAACAACCAGCCATTCTGAGATCCAACACGGGAGCACCTCCATCCCCTCAGTCACCTAGAAAAGGCTAAAGCAGTCTATAGTAATAGGCTGCATCCAAAATCACATACTTCCCAACTATATAGTAGGTAAAAAAAGAGTATGTGAAAAAATTAGCACAACACAATGGAAACAAGCCGCAACACAACAAAATTAGTCCTATGTGTTGTGTTGTCTTATGTGATTTTGTTGTGTTGTAGAGATTTTGTTGTGTTGTGCACTACTGGGCCACCGTACCGTACTGAGTACCATACTCAGACAGAATACAATTTCGGACTAACACTTTATTTTTATCGTTGACCGCACGTTGTTAATCTTAGTTATTTCCATATAGCAGCTAATAAATCAGAAGACTCGCACTTTCACAGACAAATAGCTCAAATAGCTCCGTGTTGCAAAATAAGGTGGATACAAATTCTGCCCTCATCTTGTTTTGTAAACTACAAAGCATTTTCTTCATAATTTAAGTGTTAATTTCTGAATATATTGATCATTCTGATCACACACACACACAACAGTGTATTAGTCTCAAATCAGTTAAAAAATTATGCATCACGCCAGTTTAAACTGATTTACAAAGCAGCCTCAGAATTTATCCAACACTAATTTCCTAAATTCACCTGTAAGACTATATTTAGCAAATATGCACTTCTAATTTACATATAGCGGCTAATGTTTTGCACATTCACAGAAAAATAGCTCACTTCCGCATTGCAAAATAAGGTGGATCTCTTCTCATTTCATTTTTCATTTCTAAAATGAAAGGGTTTTGTTAATGCACACATAGAAATGTGCACTCTCCCTAGTGTTTGGCACCGATACTACTAAATCCCTGGCTTTGGTAGGTTGCCATGGTAATCAAGTGTAGTAGATCAGATTTCCACACGTGATGACAGTGACAAAAGGTGGAACAATCATTCTGATCACACACAAATGGTGTTTTTGCATCAACACGTTTATAAAATTACGTGTCGTCCCAATTTAAATTGATTTACAAAGCAGCACCAGAATTTATCCAATAGTAATTTACAAAACCTGCTGGTAAGAATATATTTAGCACATTTACGTGATGTGAAACAAGACTTAAATTGATTCTTGATTCCAGATTTTGAAATGGCTTTTGGAATTTATGGTAATAATGAGTATGCGTGAGTTTCTCTCATAACACAGTTCATGATGTGATCTCTAGACTGCGGCGTCAGGCAGATAACTGTGAAAATGTCCTGCCTAAATTTAGCAATAAATTCCAGCACTGAATACCATCCCAGTGAAATGTTTTTACCCACATGTGAATGTCTATGTCAAATCACCATGGAGACGACAGAAACCAGCCTCTGCTGCACAAACCTGCAACACTTTCATTACGGATTATCCTTTAGCAGGAGCGAATTTATCAACCCTGCAAATACTGAGCACACGAATGTGTGTGTGCGAAGAGGAGAGAGATTAATTTTCCTTCACACTGTCTACCACATCCTTATAAATTGTGGTTTCAACAGACAACATAATAGACAGATATGTGTGCAGTATTACGCATAACTCTATGAGCCTATGGGGACAGAATGTAAGATGAGCTACAATTTAAGAATTAATATTTTTTTTCATCTTTTTTCCATACTGATTCAGATCAATTCTTTCAAAAATGAATATATAGCATGTGTTCAACAGTCAAATACTGTTTTAAACCTTCAAACACACACACATGACTTTTTTCTATGGAACACAAAAGGAGAAATTTTGAAAAATGGCCACTCTTTTCCAGGCAGTTCGAGCCATAAATATGTTCAACGTGACTTCTCAATTCCTTTTGTTTTCCATGGAAGAAAGAAAGTCATACATGTTGGAAACAACATGATTTACAGATCTGTTTTAGAAGCTGTTTGATCCTGATAGCTTTGAGGAGTGACTCTCATTGCTCACAAAAGGAGGACTGAATCCTATTTTGAGTTTTCTTTTGTAAATAATTCACCGAAATGTGTCACAGAGCTCTGCGATTCAGCAGAAACAGCGCAGAGGAGAAGCACTCTTAATGTTTTTCATTCCTCTTTGTTGTTTTATAGATCTTGGGGAACCAATTGTCAATTAAAATTTAATCTGTTCCAGATGATGGCCAAAAAAACCTCAATGGAACTGTTTAAAGGATGCTTTAATGCTTCCTTCTGCCGCCCTGACCAGAAGGAAGACAAATGAGTCGGTTTAAAAGTGTTCCAATAGCAATACTCGTTCTCCTCTAAGCCAAGCAAATTTATTCAGATTTGTGGTTAGTGGGGTAAACAGGAAGTGTACAGGCTAAGAAAAAAAGCAAATCAAGTAACACATGACTATTGTGAACACTACAAAAAACCAAAACAAAACAAAAAACACACAAAGCATTCAGAGATCAAATTAAATGTAAAATATGCTTGCTCTACATTATTCAGTATGTTGATCGAGACAACGGCTGTCTAATATTAATAAAATATATATTTGTAATTTTTCTATGAATATTCTTTGACAAAAATCATTTGGATTTTAATTTAAATATTGTAAAATTATTTTATTTTTGCTCACGTTTTTATTTGAAAACGCCTGAATGGTTAACTACCCTTACGAAAAAGAAGTTTATTCAAGTGTGATATTAGTATACTTCTTTTAAACTAAAAAATAGGAAAGTATACTTTTAGTCTACTTTTTCTGTACTTCTCAGAAATGGGCTTTATGTTCTTCTCAGAAATATACTTAAAATGACATTTAAGTATACTTGACTTATACTTGAAAAAGTCTAAATATATTTGAGCTACTGTATACTTGTGCCCCTAGAATCCGTGTTTTCATTGTTATACGATAGGGGGCGCTAGTACACATCTTCTGTACAGAATTTCCAAAAAACACAAGTGAAGAAGAACACTGATATTTGTATACTTACTACATAAAGTATACTTAAAAATATACTTGAACTTTACTTAAGTATACTTATTAGTTCCTGGTCTTTTGCACTCAAAAAAAAAATGCTTCACTTTCATGAATAATATACGTTTTTAAGCTTCTTTAGGATGGAAATCTCTACACTGACAGACTCGCAGAAAATATGGGCCTTGCTTTTTTTTCTAAAGACCCCACCCACCCACGCTATTTCCCCCCTTCACAAAATTCTAACACACGCTGAACTCAACGAGAGCCGCCGGCTCTGTACTCAACGTCAAATAGCTTTACACTCAACCAATCACAATCAACAGCATTTGGCAACTTACATCCCAGTGGCCAATCATATGTTCTACAGTCTGTCATGTGACACAAAGCCCCGCCCCATTTGTGGAATCATTGAGAGCGCGAGTTGAACTACAGCGATTCAGCGGTGACCGGCGCAGATCCAAGCAGCTGGAGGATCCGGAGAGATTTCAGAAGCGATTCGAATGCTCCTTACGTGGACTGGCTTCCTTTATATCTTCTTAAGATTTTAAAGACGGTATGTAAGCCTTCACTTTGCTCTCACAATGCACAGGTTGCAGATTTTGTTTATAAAATCAAAGTAAAAGCTGGTGGCAGCTGCGCATGAAATAGGAACTGTGTCACCAATAACTTATTCATAAAAGTGCTTTATCTGCAGGTTGAGCGATAAATTTCCCTCAGACTTTTTAAAAATATATCGCAATATATTTAGATATTTCATGTAGCCTATTGAATGTATTTATCAGAGTAAATTTATCTCTATTAGAAATGACTACATAATTAATAGCCTATAAAAGTTAAATATATCTGATTGCAAGAAGCTAATATTGCAACATGATATAGCTACAGATACAAAGATCTTTATCAAAGATCTTTAAAAGCCACTTTTTACCTCTCAGGGTGTAACATCAAAACCACAACTGGGGTTATCCTTGACCCTTACTTAATTATATATGACCGTTTTCTTTATATGTTTATTATTATTATTTTGCTACACCAAAACCTCTGGAATAGCCTATTTATGGAATACTTTTATTGCAATAACGTCATCTCACTACATCAAACTAAAAATATAAAATTGAAAATAAATATATTCATGTTTTGAAATAAGAAGAAATATTAAGATTTTTTTTTCTTTCGTGATTTAATAATTCATGCAATTCATACAAGGGTTAAATCTGAGAAGTACAAAGATTATTACAGTATGTTTTACAAAAAAGCTATTTCAGTCTTTCTACTTCAAAATTTCATGTTTAATTTGATGTTACTTGCCATTTCTTTATAATTCATTGTGAAATTTACTAGCAATTTCTGAGTGAAAATTGTTTCTGCACCAATTTCATTTTAAGGAGACGCTGGGAATTGTTGTAAGTAACACATTTTGTTTCAACAAGTTTAACTCGCTGATTTTTGTGCTATGTATGTATTAACTTTGATATAGTATTCCTAAATTTGTCTGCTACAAATTAAAGCAGTTTAGATATGTACCGCTTACCCTAAATTAATGTCAAATACAAAGAGTGCTATTGTTGCAGTTCTCCCTGAGTGAGCTTCAACTGAAAACACAGATGTTTTAAATTATGTGCATTCATTTATTGTGGTAATCAAATTTCTTAATTGTAAACCTTTTCATTTTTCAAGTGGTAAGCATATTAAAACCATTTTGATTAAAAATGCAAATAAAATGGGAAACAGATGTAGGTGTATACACTGTCCCATTTTCAGCAATATTTGTGGCTCCAGTAGATGTAAATTGGAAAGTATTACAACCCTCCCCGTCTGCTCAGAGATGCTATTTCTAGTTTTCTAAACGTGTTGATGAAAACTCGCTCCAGATCACCTGGATTTCACCTCTTGTGTTTGACTGCTTTCCATTGTCGGTGGTGTGAGTCATCTCAGCGCCCAGACTCTCATCTTCACCGCTGCATCATTCGATTAAATCAGTAAACTGATGCTTGTATGTGGGCTGAAGATTAACTTGGCTTAGTGACAAGTTAAATGTGCATGATTACCTTTAATCTGGGTTTCAGTTTCGTTGTTCTCTGCAGTTTTTTCTACAGTAAATGTTACTTATTAACTACAACAGTTGATGTGTTTTGTGTAGACCAGTCACTGTTTAAAAGAAAAAGTAGATTATGTGCAGAAAAAACTGAATCGAGTTGATCACTAAAATCCGTCTGGTGTTGTTGACAGGATCCAGATGTGTCTAATTGCAATATATGAAATCTGTTTGTTGCCGTTCCTGTCTGCAGTGAGATAAAGTATGGTCATGGAAAGCCGCAACAGACCGAGAGAGACGACTGTTAAATATATTACAGGCTGTGTGATTATATCTGTACCGGAAAGTGAACCCCCTCCACAGCCACACACACACACACACACACACACACACACTTTCTCCACCTTCTTTGTCTGTCTCCCTGGTTTATCTCCACCTACTGCCACCCTCAGAGACACCTGAACACAGACATAATGATCAACAGCAACGGGCGTCTGGAGAGAACACCCCCACCTCTCTTTCTCCATCTCTCTCTCTCTCTCTCTCTCTCTTACACAAAGCAAACAGGCCCAAACAGCGTCAGAAAGGGCTTCTATTCTTTTATGAATAGAGGACACACAGTGATGATAAGCCACACAAATCTGATGTTTTTAACGTCAGGTATATCTGCAGGGTAAGATACACTGGCCTCAGAAAGTATTTGAACATTTAATTATGTCATTGTATGAATGTCATTGAATTAAAAAAAAACTAAATGTCAAGCATGGTTATTTTAATTAATATATTTTAAATAACACGGCTTAAGCACACTTATGCAAGCAAAACCTTTCGGAAAAAGATGTTGTTTGAGCTTTAGATTGGTAAAGAATAAATACGGTTTAAATTTAGGACAAAAATATTTGGACATTAGAGTTTATGGATGTGAGATGTTAAAAGTAATTGAGAAAATATTTCTGAAAAGTAAAATTGAATTCCTTCAAAATAGTTTTGAAGGAAACCTAATTTGGTTGCAAATGCCACTTGGTTCATAAAAAAAGGACAATTTTTAACATCTCAGGTTACTTATGTAACCATGGTATACCCACGCCGCCATGCTGAGGGGAGTGCAAGCCGGAACCATGGCGAGCACTAAGTACCAACTCTACCATATTGCTATGGGAGTCGCCCCTGGGACGTTAGACGGCTGTCAGTGACGTTATTCCCTACGGCCAAAGGCCTAGGCTACATACCCCAAATACTTACCTGTTAGGGCCAGACTCCTGGGCCCGGGGTAGAGCTCAAGGCTTGGAATCAGAAATAGATTCCTTTAAGGGAATACGACCAAGAGCCTAGAATCATACTAGTCTTGGCCTGTCACACAGGGGCTACCGCACGTTTCTCTTTGTATGTGCTGAAGGAACTGTCTCAACAGACCCTTAGTAGCAACACCCTGTTAAGTAGGTATCCAGAGGATACATAGGAGGAGTGGTGCCCAAGGCGGAACCGGGGTTTTAAACCACTCAAAAAGAGCACGAAGTCTTTGCGCGTAGCTCTTACCATACAGGATTTTAGAAAAGTGGGCAAAGCATAACGTGCACACACTTGAAACCGTTCTAGGGGTTCTCGTGGCACCCTGAAAGAGCAGACGAGGCGTTCCCCATAGCGACCCCTAGAGGACGCAGTTCGAAGTTCCCATGAAGGGGAACTGTTTTTTAAGAATTAATTTTAAATTTAAATTTCATGTTCATTTTTAACAAACCATAATGAAATACACAGCCATAATGCCTGCTCTGAATTCCTTGTCTTCTCGTTATTTGATCAATTACATTACATAAATACTATGTTCGATCTAAACGCGTTATATTTTTCTGGCATTATACCTTTTTTGTTGGACTGCTTGCTATGACTTCTTGCTCTCTGAAAATACAAGGGAAGCATATTTTTGGTTTTATGTTAAGTGGCTCCTACATACTGCTTTGTGTTGAGCTACAAGTCTTAACATTTCTTTAAACTGGCTGCATATTTATGGAATTGTAGGTTTGGAAGTTCAGAATGCTGTCTTGCACAAGACATAAGATTAAAGTACGTCTCAAACACATACAATATCATTAAAAAGATTGTTTTTTGAAAGAAATGAATACTTCCATTCAGCAAGGATGCATTAAATTGATCGAAAGTATTCAATTTTAAATAAATACTGTCTTTTTGAACTATCTATTCATCAGAGAATCTTGAAAAATGTATCACTTTTATCACACAAATATTAAGCAGCACAACTGGTTTCAGTATTGATAATAAGAAATGTTACATGAGGACCAAATCAGCATATTAGAATGTTTTTAAGAATCATGTGACACTGAAGACTGATGGAAATTCAGCTTCGCCATCACAGGAGATTACATTTTAAAATATATTAAAATAGATCACAGTGATTTTACATTGTAATCATTATTTGCAATATTACTGTTTTTACTGTATTTTTGATCAAATAAATGCAGCCTTGGTAAGCTTCTTTCAAAAATTTAATGTTTCAAAAACTTTAAAAATCTCACCAAACCCAAATGTTTGAACATGTAGTGTACAAATGTATTTTAGTTTGAGGCCATTTTGGTGTGTAGTGCAAGATGTCTCACAAAACAGTATCTCCATAGAGCAAAAATGCACACAACAAAGGACACTACAATCCAAATAATGAGCGACAGTTTTGTGCTGTCCAGAGGATAATTTATCGGGTGTGTGAACATTTTTACTTTTACCAATATTATAAGACCAAAAGTTTGAACACAACTCTTTTAAAATGTCCCAGAAATCCACGACCCCTTGCAGGAGGTAAGCACATCGACTGCATTTCAAGTGAAAACTGAAAGAAGTAGTTTTGTTCAAAGGTGTGTGGTATTCAGCAGCATAAATGTGGGCATTCATTGTGAACAGTGAAAAGCAGTCACCATTCAACAATCATTTTCACACACACAGAAGTCAAGACCGCTCTAAAATCCGGAGAATGCTTGGGGTGTCTTGAGGGAAGCCACGCCCATTCCAAGTCTCAACAAAATCCACACACACGCATACAGATAGCATACCTCAATGTGTGATTGTGGTGTTTTGGGAAAAATGTTCCAGAATGGGCTTCGCTTCAAAGAGATGTTCATCCATTCTGTCTGAGGAACTAAAATGAACAGAAACACCTCAGGGGGAATATGACACCAGCTGCTTTTGTTCTAACGCATTTCTGCGTGCGCTTGAGCGTGTGTGCGCCGCTCACATATGTAGAGGCTTCGCTATTTCCAGGGCTGGGGATGTGGCATCCTCACTGTAATCTTTTGAGTGGAGAGGATGTTGAGATGGATTAGTGAAGCCCCAGCGTGCTGCGTGTGTCATTACCGTGGAGAGATCAGCACAGTGAGGTTAATGAGCCAATCTGCATAAACTTTGTCCCCATCTGGAGCGTTTGGGTGGTGTGGGGCAATGCGTTACCAGCGTTCCTGCATCTACATCACCAACAACCCTTAACCGTAGCAAATGATTTATGCTAACGATCT